TATGGTCAAAAAACTCACTTGCCTAATAATTGTGCACACAGTGTATTTAACTTCCCTATTGAAATCAGTAGTAAGAAACTCTTTCCTTTCATCTAAAACTTTGTGTATAGTGTTAAAAAAATAAGACCAAAAAATCCTCAAGTTATTGTTAGTGGTTTTAATCTGGAAGAGCACTGACCACCTTTTCAATAATATTTAGACCAAATATCCATCTATTCAGCCTTCCCTGCTCTGATATGTTCCAGATTCCCAAAATTCTGAACCCAATATAACCTAAACTATAACCAGTTTGGTGTAATAGATAGTAGATAATAGCTGGACTATGGTGTGGAAAACATAAGATATAAAGTGTAATAACTGCCATAGCAAAGAATTTTAAGACTTAAGCTGTAATAACTGGGAGACAAATACTTTGCAAAATTCTCCAGGTATGAATCCTGGAGAACAAGACTATTATTTGCCCTCTGTGTAACCTGCTGAAATGGAGATATTCTTCTGAACTAAGGGCTGAAATGTATAAAAATGCAAAGGTTGGTGGAGAATATGGATGATAAAGGAATAATAGCTTTATCTCCTAAATGAACAGCTGTCATCTCTTTTCTTTTCTTTGGTTTCCCTATTCCCTCTATGTTGAGCTGATACAAATTATAATTTTGATTCATCTGATACCTTATGTTCTGCAGATGGGATTAGATACCACAGTACATCAGTTGTATTAACAACCATTGTAGCATTAAGGCTGGATTGTGTGAACCAGGCCCGTTTGTGGTTACTAGGGAGTTGCACTCACTAAAGACATTCACCTTCAAGTAAGCTTGATTAGGACTGGACTATCAGAAAAACATCTGGAAGAAGGCAATCCCAAATCACTTCTGTTGTGGTTGCCAAGAAAACTACGGGGACAGGTCACCAGGAATCAAGCTTGACTTGGACACTTTGTTTTTTTTTTTTAATTAGAAGGAAAGTTATGTACTGGGATATCATCTCTATTGCAATAGTATATATTTATTTTATATGCATTTTAAAACATTTGTGATATTTTTTTTTCCAACAGTAGGCTTTACAATGTATTGTCGAAGGCTTTCACGGCCAGCATACGATGGCTGGTGTGGGTCTTCCGGGCTGTGTGGCCGTGGTCTTGCGGCCGGGTCTGTGTGGCTGTGGCCATGGGCACAGAGAGAACTGCTCCTGTCTGTGCTCCTGCACTCTGAAGATGCCGGTCACAGGGGCTGGGCAAGCGTTAGGAAACAACCCGTCAAGACCACGGCTACACAGCCCAGAAGCCCCACCCCAGCCATAGTAG